CAATTCGAACCAGAGAAAGAAGAAGAAGAAGAAGAAGAAGAAGAAGAAGAAGAAGAAGAAGAAGAAAATGAACAATCGAATCTGATAGCTTAAACCCTATCAGTCGACCCTMATATGAATTAGCCTCTAATTAGTTGTACAAAGACTAAACTGCCCCCCACTTAAGTATGGGACAGGAAGTCTCTATTAAAACTGCCACAAGCACATAACTTAACAGAAATAAAATGACTAATCTACCCTTATTCGGCTAGCTCTAGCAGCTGAGAAGTGATAGTCAAGGAACATGGCAGTACTGGATACTTCGAGAGAAATCGAGCATATAGCAAGGAAGAGGGTCATCACATTTGGTTGGGTACCTAGATCAATAAACTGTTTGGATGATGCATTTGCAAAACAAGAGGCAATTAGGGAGTAAATGTACTGGGGGTCACAAATGAAAGTTACTTGTAATAAGTATTATCAAAAATAGAGGGAGGGTAGGTCAGAGCCAGCCCTAAAGAGGATGCAATAACTTGTACATAAATCATTGCAAATGCTACACTTTTTTAGCATTAATAAAGAGAAGTTACTAATCAAAAAAAAAAATCCCATGTTCCATTATGTATAAATTGATTTGCCATAAAACCTTTCAACTTTTCATATTTCTTACATATTCTTTAATATCAGAGATACCTTTAACCTATTAAGATTCCAGTGATATTCAATCTTGATACAGCTAGCACTTTATCAATTTTCACATTGAAAAATGTTGAAAATAGCTTATCCATTATCCAGTGTTCAAGGTAGTGTTTTACTAAGTGCCTAAACCACCAAATGAACAAGAGTTTGAACAAAGTATCCCTTGCCTAAATTCATTAATCTAGCAAACAAGCCAAGGGATATGTTTGTCTAGATGGAATGATAAGATAAATATCATATTTTTTGTTATCAATAACAAAAAAATATCCAAGATAACCCTTCTCTCTGCATGTATCATAGAGAGAAGGGCATACCCCTTAGAGAGAGAAAAAGAAGCAAATGCCCAAGACTATTCCTAATCATACAATCAGGAAAAAAAAAGTGTTCAGAACAAATTAGTTTTTGCATGTAAAATCCAGTTTCCCACTCCTACATTTTGGAACCAATACATCCACTAGCCACAGGAGAACCATTCAAAATGTGTACCTTTCTCAAGAGCACCTTGGGAAGGCAGACTACCTAAACATTGACCTCCTTGTCACCATGACCCTTAATTTCTTGTAATAAGACTAACAGTAACTTTTGTGCAAACAGATTTTACAGTGGAGAGCTCAGCCACACTTTTTTGTCTAGACCTTTTTTTGTTCTTTTTGATACCTGGTGGATGATTGTACAGGATCTTTTTGTACAAGGGTGTTCATATTTTGATAGTTAATACAATATATTACCTTTTTATTAAAAAAAAAAAAAAGACAAACAGTGACCTTAGTCCATCCACCTTCTTGGAATTGTCTCTCTTGTTCTCTTCTATGTCCAAGTATGCCTATTCAAGACCTCCTCCTCCTAATATTCTTCCACATATCAAATTATTTGAGTTAGATATGCCATATTTTCCCAAAACTGCCTCACAATTATTTCACTAAACCCTACTGTACATGCTTATGTAATAGATATGACATTCTCTTTTCTCCCAAGGCTGTGTTTGTTTGCAGTGTAAATACCAAACTGGAGGAGTTTTACACTTCAGTCCAGTTTTGTAGCCATTTGGATGAAACGTAAATGACCACCAAAAATCAATGTAAAACTCCTCGCAGATTGAGTTTTACATCAATAATCGGGGGAAATTTATCTCATAAAAACGATGTAAATCTTTACATCGATAATCGCCACTTTTTTAAACCAATGAGTGCAGAACTCCTCCAGTCTGGTATTTACACCGCATTCAAATGAAGCCTAAAAGTCCAATTAGTATTACCTTTCCCTATTTTCTGAACATTTGAAAATCCTGTCGAGGTATTACCTACACCAGTTCTCTAGACATCTGTAAATTTGGCTAACTTCCAATGCACAGCCATATAAATAATTGAACAGAAATGTAAGAACAGTTTGTGTGTATTTTAACCAATGAAATAACTTTAATTTAGAATTATAAGATACTAAGATGATTGGTGGGATATTTTTTTTTCAAAAATAAGAAAAGGACAACAAAGATAAAAAGAGTGAGTGAGCGAATGTGTGTGTGTGTGAGAGAGAGAGAGAGAAGGATGAGGGAGAAAAAATTTGAACCTTCACTTCCCGGTAGTGGACAAGAACAATATGCATGAGATCCCTACAATAAAGGGCAACTACGTAAGAAACAAGAAGATACTATGCAACAAAAGAAAGCTTTCTGTTAGAAAATTAAGAAAATAAAAGAACCAAAAAGAGCAACTTTTTTATGCAGGTAACACAGCATCTTACAAGTCACAACTTAAGGATAATTGCTGAGGCATATAAGTCAGAGCCAACTTTTAGATGGTCCTTGTTTCTCTTTTATAACAAGGTAATAAGTAAATTTCATGGCATATCATGCGCATTAACCTTAAGGTGAACAGTAAAGCAAATGCAACATATGCTACTTTATGAAATGAATTGCAACCATATTTTTATTGGAAATGGTAACTTCATTAATACAAAATTAAGTACAACTTTCCAGAATTAAGTACAACTGTGAACCCATAAACAGGAGTTGAGTCCCCAGTAATCTTTGTTACAAAACTGCCCAGAACAGTCTCTCCCTCACAGTCCCTTGTTTAGCCAATGTATTGGTTAAACCATTAGCTGATCTCCTTGTCCATTTGAAATAAGCACCAATCTCCCTTGTTGTATTGAGGATCTCCCTTATGGTCCGTCTATAAATCCAGGCACCCAACCTCCCTGATTGCAGCCAATCAATCAACAATTTAGAGTCTCCCTCTGAATTGCAACTATTGTGAAGGCTAAGCTATTCATGCTTAAGCCAATCATGGAAGGCTAAAGTACAGAAWAGAAGGCCAGTTAAGTGCCTCTCTCCTCATGTTTGTATCCTCTGTTTGGCTAGTGGTGAGACCCTTCCTCATTTACTAATCTCCTGCTCTTTTGTGTCTTGCATTTGGGGTTACTTCTCTTCACTCTTTGGCTGCAAATGGGATCCCCAACAAGATGTCGCCAGCAGTTCTAATTTCTTGCAGCAACAGAAAAAAAAAGGGCAAAATGCTTATGAAGGGTAACAAGATCAACAGTGGTTTGGACCATTTAGGAAGAAAGAAATCAAGGATTTTCAATGAGAAGAGCAGATCTAAGGAGGAATCAACTGAAACAATAAAAATCAGATCTGCACATTGGGTAAAAACTGTTGATATCTTCAAAGATGTCTCAACAAATGACATAATAAGGAAATGGAAGGAAGTAGGACAAATGGAAACGCATAAATAAATTATCAAGATGGATTGGAAACCTCTAGAGCCAAATACATTGAAGCTTAACTTTGATGGTAGCTCCTTTGGAAACCCTAGGAATAGGGGGAGTCTTTAGAAATCATCATGGAGAAGTTGTGGCTTTGTTCTCAGGACCAATTGGGTATGAAGACTCAGTTCAGATAGAGATAATGAGACTCTTACAAGGCTTGAAACTAGGAGTACTATTAGAAGCTAGAGAGTTGGAAGTGGAAGGGGACTCACTATTGGTCATCTCTTGGGCTAAGCGAGTAAGCTCAGCACCCTGGAAGTATAGATTTGCATTTAGGAAGATTGACCTTCTTTCTAAGAGTTTTAACTCTACATTTGGGTGGGTTGAAAGGACACAAAATCTAGAAAAACAGGGAGCTGATAGGCCTACTCCCTTTTTTTTATCTATAATAGGCCTACTCTATTTTGCGTAAAACTGTAGCTATCTGTATTAAAACAGAGAGATGATGATCCTTGCAATCTAGGACATTTTGTATATTGCTATACTCTGGACTGCAGAGTAGCTAAAGTATATTTGTAACCTGTTATTTAAATTAATAAATAAATTCTCCTTTGCTGATCAAAAAAAATAGGAAGAGAAAAAAAAGTGATAACTTCCACAAGAAACATAATGCAAACGAAAGTGAATGAATTAAAATATGCAGATAAATCATGAACATGAATAAACTCAAGTGATATATACTTGTTTCATACTCACTCTTCAAGCATCCAATAACTACGCCTTTGAAAATTTTCATTCTCCTCTCCATGGGCATAGTAGCAGTGTAACACATCAACACTTCCAGCCTGGAATGTTTAGGAACGTAACCTTTTAGATTAGCGCATTTAGTTTGAAAAAGAAACTAACAACTTATCATTATTAATATTTCTTTATATCAAGAAAAGTAAATTACAAATACAGAAGTTCAGTATAATGATATAAGGTCTAAATGGCAAGCTTTAAGTCCCATAGAAGCCAATATTAAAGGAATCCTTCCAAAATGCATGTTCATGAAAACTCAAACAAAAGCATCCTTCTTGCCTACCTACCTTTAGCCTCTCATGAGCTTCTTTAATCGTCTTCCCATCTTTTTTCTTCCTCCAGTTATGGCCATCCTTTCTGAAGTATCTCAACACCTTTCGATCAAAAAGAAAAAGTGAACCACCTGGCCAAGAAAATGTTGTCAAGCTAAGGTATATTTGCTGCCAAATATATTTTTTAATCAACAAGAAATTATTAAAAATGCTCAGATGAGATGAATGTTTTCTACACTACCACCAGTCATAGAATGCAGGCCTAAATAATCTAATGCCATGACTGAGATCAACAAACACCAAAAAATTCCCAAGAACAAGTGGAGCAGGAGAAAACAATAACACCACAAACACCAATATCCTCCTACGCAGGTCACATTGGTTGCTGATTTGTCACATGAACCACAGCAACCCTGCTGCCACTTCAATCATAGGTATCCACATACCAGTAGGTACCATATGAAGTAGCTTGCAGCATATTAGATCCACTACCAACAGCACTTTCATCCACATAGATCAATTTTAGTTATCTAGGTTCACCTAAACCTGGTTAATATGCATTCCTAGATCTGGTACAGGTCATCAAGGCTGTTTGAAGATGCATACAAAATGTTTTATGTGCTGCACAAAAGCAAGTTTACCTTTTGTCTACTAGAAATTCTTCCCAATCCCAAAATATAAGGAATAAAATATGTCATTCCATAAAAGCAAGTTTAGATTTATATGTTATCAATGAAAATATGAAATAAGAACTACATTATAAGAAGAACCATACTAGGTGGCTTGTTTGGAGGCTCCGGGGCAATACGAAACTTCGGATAATTTCGAAGAATTTCACAAATTTCAGCAGGACGCAACCATCGATTTTGTGCTTCAAGTAGTATTTGTTCAATATCTACACATCCAAAAAAACAAGACAATCATGAGTTTTCATTAGATATTTTACAGTCAATTCATAACATCAAATGAGAGCTTGCCTACATGTTCAGTTAAGGCATAATGCAATGCATATTTCATCCATTAGGAATCAGTTATCTCCAGAAGAACAACCTTAGGACTGTTAAGGAAGACTCAGCTGGCTGTCATTCAAAATCTATCCCAAATCGAGCAAGCTTTCAAAATTTTATTAGTACCATTAAAGTTCCCTAGTCATTGAATATTGCAACATTGGAAGAAAAAAATCTGAGTGTGACAAAATTTGATGGATCATGATGCAGCTACAAAAAACATACTACAATTTCATGGATCAAGTAAGCTTAAAATATTCTCAGAATATCAGATCTCTATCAAGCAAAAATAAGGATTCCCAAGGAAGGAATTCTCAACATATGAAGCATCAAGCATAAACAGGGTAGGAAGCTAAAACTAGTTGAGCATGCATTAATGTGCTTAAAAGATCTTGAAAGGTGTCTCTCCTTTAGATTGTTGATAAAAGATATACCTGCATGTATGTGCTTCAGTGGATTGTAGGTCAACCTTTAAAAGGTATCTCTCCTTACTGATAACACTCTTTTACTGATAGTGTATGTAAATGTGTTTCAATGGTTTGAGGCATCAAACCTTAGAATAAATCACAGAAAGAGCAAGATTATGGCTGCTGAGAACATTCTAAATATGGAATACCTGGCAGTACCTCTGGGATGTTAGGTATGCAGCCATCCCTCTTCATACCTCAGAGCTCAGATTGCAATTGGGAGAAAAATGCACCTCAAAGTCAATATGGGACCAAATGGTGGAAAATTTTGAAAGGAGACTAGAATAATAGAAAATAAGGTATTTATCAAAGGGAGGTAAGGCAAATCTTACAAAAAGTGATTTAGCAACTTGCACACTTATTTCCTTTCACTTTTCCTCAATTCCAGCTGTAGTAGTAAATAAGCTTGAGAAACTTCAAGGTGATTTTATGTGGCAAGTATAGAAAGATAAATTCGTGATTCAATTAGTAAACTGAGGAAAAATCAGAGGGGAACCAAATGACTGACACCCAAGGCAGGTATATCTTTTCTTTATAGAAAAATGGTAGTGGAGATTTGGTGCTGAAAGTGATAGACTTTGGTGAAGGGTTCTTGGTGCAAAATATGGACTGAGACACCACATGTAGAAACCAAGTGAGACATGCGGATAATATAGTTGCCCACTATGGAAAGGAATAAAAAAGGAATATGCATTCTTCATCAATGGAATAAGGCACAGGTTGGTAAATGGTGCCAGAATCGGCTTTTGGGAGAAGTTTTAGAAGATGGGGACTACAGGGACCAGTGCGGTTACCTTGATTCCAAAGTAAAATGATTGGGACTCAAATGGTTTTACTCTTAGAGCTGAACTTGAACAAGAAAACTCTAGATTATGGACTCAGGACCCATCAAATTCTTTCATAGTGATGTCTATGTTTATCAGCATGCATGTACCATCAGGTTGAGAGTTCCCCCATGCCCAAATCTGGAATGTACTGCACCTTCAAAGGTAGCTTTTTGGTCTGGACTTCCACTTTGAGCATTTTCAAAGTCAAAGGATGCTTTCAAAGATCTTTGATGGAGGTCATAGTTCCTAGAAGGTTGGGACATAAAAAGGCTAAGCATATGAAGGAAGGTTAATTGAAGTTAACACTTTTTTGCCTACTATTTGGGTAATGTGTAAGAATGTAAGACAGGGATATTTGAAATTCACCTTACTCAAGTGGAGGAGGTTCTAAGACACTTTTGAACAGACTATGGCCTTTAGAAAAATACACACATTGGCCTTTTTTTTTAACTTTGAATCTTTGTACAGAGATGGCAGGCATGGAAAACAATTTTTGTCATAATGCCATAATGTTGTATGGAATGTAACTGTACACGAGTAGAATGTGCACTTATAAACACCTTTTGATATAATACAAATTACATTACTAAAAAAATATATTGTCCTACAGCTTCCCATTCTGGTATAGGATCAAAATCTACTCTCCAATCATATAATAGATGCATTCTTCCTTCCAATTTGAGTGATTGGGTTTGTACTTTATATGTGGCATCAGGTTTAGTTCTTTATGTCTCAAGTAAAGATGGTACAATTCTTGCATCCTTTCCTTTTACCCGTTCTGGATATGTAGGTAGAGTTCTGCACCTTGATCTGAGAAATTACTGAATGTTTCTTGAGAAATAAAGAAATATGATATTTAGGTAGGTCTTCTGCACCTTTCCTTTGATTCATCTTATACTCACATTTTTTGTTGCAACAAATTTCCCATGGAAAATATGACACTATCTGCAATCAGAGCTTAGAAGTCACATTCCACAATCACTGATCATACAGTTCTCTTGGATGTTTTCCATGATAGTGTTTTGTATGAAGGATTATAGCTTGGTGATGTAGACCCTGAAATATAGTTTCATTATCCATCTATAAAGAACTTCCCAGTTCACGTTATCATTTAAGCCATAATGTCTACTTATCCTAAATAAGTAACAGAAGATACTCATAGCACTGCTAGATTCAGTATATGGGCAGACAAAAGCATATCAAGATCACCACTATCAAATGAAATATGTTGCCCTTGTGGTACTCAACTAAACAACACCTTAATCCCAACTATCTGAGTCTGGAACATTAATCACATTCCATCATTGCATTTTATCAAGAGCCATGTCTTCTGTAAATTATGAGTCATTTCTCACTGCTTCAACCCATGCCCTCTTTGGTATTCCCCTGCTTATTTTAGGGCATTATACGGTTTATTCCTCAACCAAACCACTCTTCACTAGTGTAATCATTTGTTATCTTTGTTTGTTGCCAAACCATCTCAATCAGCTTTCTTTCATCTCGTCACTTATTGGGGCTACTCAAAAGTCCCTTCTAATGTGGTTATTTCTAATTATATCATTCTTAGTCTTGCAATGATCCACCTTTTGAGGAATATTTTTCTTGTTTCCCAGCAATCTCATCCATGTAACAAAAGGAAAAAAAAAAAAAACTGAAGAGGGTGTTGTTCAAAGAATTAGAGCAAGGCTATTCCAGTGATCTACTGTGGTGTTGTGTTTAACGAGTAAAACTGCAATTAATTTACTCCATTATAACCATTAACCAATACTCCCCTCTATGATAAATTGATAATACAAGTACCATCCAAATTGACGATACTTACATTTTCTTGTGGCTGGTAAACACATAACATAAATACACACGTATGGATAGGAAATGTGAGGTTGTTTGTTTCTCACATCCACGATAACTATCCTCGTGGAAGCCGTCTAAATCCCTATGCTTAGTGGATATTTGACTCATTCTGTATGTAAACAAGTTCATCGCCAATTTGCTATAAATTTCAATCTCTTTCTTTCTTTCTTTTACTTTTGGCAGAACAAAATCATTCCCTCGCTACTGTAATTGTCATTTTTCATCGGAATGCCAGATAACTTAGCTTTATCGTTAATCATCTACTGGTCCTTTTAGTATCGAATCGTTCTTGCTTGCCCTTTTATTATTTCCCGTAGCTTTATTCCTCTTTCACAATGCTCTATCGCCAATAGGTACCTTTCATAGTTTAATTGATACTTTCTCGCATCCAAGTACAGTGAATTGTATAAGTTCCCTAAGAAGTATCCATTACCAATCACTAAATTTATAACTTTAACCATTTCGCAATATATGGCGCTGCCTAAGCATAAGTTAGAACATTTCCAGTAATTCCAATCTATTACGTGGTAAGTTAGCCTCAATTTAACCACGAACTAAACTCATGCAACCTTCATGCTTAATTAACCATTTTCTTTTAGAACAATTGTACAAAGAATTCAACAACACAAAGCTCGAATTCAACAAAAAAATATGAAATTAACTACGATTCCTCACCTAATTGATTGCCCAGACCGGAACGCCTAGTCTCCGCCATGAACTAACTGTTTGGAAGTGCTTCAGCTCGATCTCAGCAATTAACCAAAATCCTCATCAGAACGCGAACCCAAAAACACTCAGCTCTTTTTCTCCTTTCCTCTGGAAAAACTAAAATTTGTATATTGCTGGAGCATAAGAAATCGAGCACTGAGCATCAAAATAGATCGATTGAGTCAAAACCATCTCATCAGAAGACGGAACCGATCACCAATTGTACGAAAAATATCGGAAAATCGGTGCGAAATTCGAGAAAAATGTTTTAAAAACAGAAGGTGGTTCGAAGAAAGGAACTCACCTGGTAAGTGAGAACCAGGTAAACCGCCTAAGTGGAATTCAGATGAAAACGGGAATAAATGGGGGGACACGCTTCTTGAAAGGACGATAACTAGTGTTGAGGTAACACAATTATAACAGTGCGTGAACAAATCGAGCCATGCGCACTAGATTGTGAGCCGTCCGATGATGAATAGCTACGAATAATGATGAAATTAGTGTCAGAGCCTTGATAAAGGGTTTTCTCTATTTCACGCATCAACATCCCTTGTTTAATCCAGCGGCTGATACCTCCTCGTTCATAACAGGTGGACAAAGGCGCGCGCTTTTTTCTTAATTTGACAAAAACAACCTTGTTGTTGGGTGATTATTACCGAAACCGAAACCCTCCCGATACGGTTGTTAGTCACGAGTGTTCTGACTGACTGAGGTGTAAAGAGCAATGGGAGCGCCGACTTTGACTAACGGTCGCGGTCAGGCGCTGGATCGTCGGATATTTTTCTCTTCTTTGCCTTTTGTTTTCGGGTTTGCTCCCACTGGACGCACGTGGCACGTGGTAAAGCGAAAGAAAGACCGCGTAAAGAAAAGGTGTCCTCACTGTCCTGTGGAGTTAACCCTGGTCTACACTCAACGACTCAAGTCCATAACGAGTTTTTTTTAATTATTGTCCCTCCTCCCGCTCGAGCTGGGGTCTCCTACAGTACTACTACTGATGGACACGTAAGCAGAATCGTTTAATTTTTTTTCAACCTGATTACGTGTCCGTCAATGGGGTGTTTTGAAGAGTGAAGACTACTTTACACGACGCGGTAATGTATGAGAGAACTAGAGAAATTCCAAGCTGGCCCCGGGTATCGTATGTCCACAATGTCGATTTTGAGAGAACGGGTGCGCTCCTTGAGATATCCAGACTCGCAGTGGTTTGTATCAAGAATCAAACTATCAGCTATCTTATTGTATGATTTAGATATGGATTTAGATACAAATACAACAAATATTTAGGAAAAACATGGATATAATAAAAAACATAAAGATGCGTGGATATATTAGGGAAATATAAATATATTAATAATATTAAGTTTAATGTTAAAATAATTATAAATAATATACAAATACATATGATTTTTATATTTTAATGGTATATATGAAAAATATATTACAGTTAATATAGCGAGATGCATAGATATTATATAATTTTATTGATAATGAATCAATCAAGAATCTAAGACATTATATAGATTCTTATAAATTAATACATGCACAAAGCTATTATTATTTTATTTTCTATTAAAGTCCAAGGCACAAAACATATGCAACTATTCTATTTGAATTACTATATCAATATTTCTATTTTACTATTTTTATTTTTTAGCATTAACAAAAATCAATTCTCAAGTGTTTGGTAAACAATATTTTCATTTTTTAAAAATAAATATGTCATTATAAAATGTAAAGTATTAATTAATAATTTATAAAAAATATATAATCTTAACTTAAAATATATCAAATCTATTAAAATTTTAAAGATATATATCATATGAAAAATCATAAATTTTAATTACTAAAATAATTACTCCATTATTAGTATTTTTTATTTTATAAAATTTCTAAAATAAAAACTTATTTTATTTTTGTATAAATGTAGATTAGTGGAATTGGCCAATTCAATTTATGTTATATTCCCAAACATTTTGTAAATAGTATTTTTAATTTTGTAAATAGTAAATACAATATTATTTAATGCAAATTAAAATATTAATTAATAATTTATAAAAATTTGAATATACATATAATGTGCAAATGTATAAATTTTAAATACTAAACTAATTATTCTATTAATAATAATTTTATTTGTATAAATTTATTGAAATTAAAAATCATTTTTTGGTATATATGTAGATTTGATAAATTATTTATTCTATTGTTCATAAACTACTCAATTGTTCTTTTTAATTTATAGTTGGAGTTGTTGAGTATTAGTATATATTGTTTATTTGGGTTGTATATAGACTACTAGACTTTAATGTTGATAAAGGTTAATGTAAACTACTAGATTCTTGGTCATTGGACAACTTTAGTTCTATATTCGAATCACGCCATACTCATTTTTTAAAGTGAGACGTGGTTTGTTGTTGATAAATAAGGCATGGGCTCATACATGCGATACGCTGTCCTATTAGCGTGTGTTGATCGTATTGCTCGATACTATACATATCATGTGCTGGTGAGGTCCAATACCAATGTGATATGCCTTGTGTCGAGCGTATTATGTCGATATTTTAACCTAGTGTATCAATGTTTCAAAAACAATATGGAACTAGAACCACTTTTAGCCATTGGTTTCTAGGTTAGTAGTCGAACTAATGGCCCATTTTAATTTAAGAAATTCAAATTAAAATAAAAACTACCAAAGATATTGTCTAAGTCAAACGGATCAATGGTTTAAATGTTTGAGTTAGCTGATCACTGATCAAATCAATAGTTGCTTGGATGGTTCTTGGGCCGAATGATCCAACCATCTAAGTCAACGACGGTTCAAAAACACCATGGTGCATTGGTATTTGTTTCTAATATATATACAATGGAAAGACATGGTATTAGAATAGTTTTCAACAATCAAAGCATTCCATTAATTTTGATAAAAAATACTTGATTGGTCACCTCTTTTATYATACTAGTTGATTGATTATATTTTTATTGACTATATTTTTCTCATATTATAGTGGAATCCTTTTATTTTTATTAATGACAATATCAACTTTATGTTTCTCCATTTTCTTCTTTTTCTTTAGGTTCAATTTGAAAGGAGTACAAATATAAATACATACAAAATACAAGGTTTTGCGCTCTACATATTTGTATTTGTACTCCTTCAAAATGGAGCCTTGTTTTATTTTAGACTCCATTTAAGAGGACAAATGCAAATATGTATAGCGCAAAACCTTCTATTTTGTATGTATTTATATTTATACTCCTTTCAAACTGAGTGTCAAGCATTTGTTTGGTTTGAAAGAAAAGATAGGGAAACACAGCTTTAATCTCTCTTACATGCCTCCAAAACTTTATATTTCCTCTATTAAATTAAAAAAATTTCTTACACTAAAAAATACAAATCTCTCTTTTCTGAAGTATATACTCCATCAATTTTTTCACCTTCTATTTTTTTTTTCTTTTTTCAAAGMTTCACGTCATCACATCTCCCCAAGAGTGAGTCGGTGACATAAGTGGGAGAGTGCGGCCAAGATAGTCTTCATGAACAATAATCAAGTGCAAATCCAGCAATACCATGAACAATCGAATTATAATATCTTACGACATAAGTAACCAAACAAGAGATAAGGCAACCAATTGTACTCATGCAATCTGATATTAGATTCCCAATGCACCATAGTAGTTTAAATTGAATCACCAACATGTGACCAATAATGAAATTTGCATCACCTTGTGCAACGGGATTTCCTAAGACTGTGTTTGGTTGCTATACAAAATTATGGCAATGCAAATGATTTCTTTGAGTATAAATTTTGACATATTTTTGTTTCAAATTTTACTTTATATTGTTTAATTACAGTGAAAATGAAATAAATTAAGAGATGAAGCCGAATAAAGTAAAATTCAAAACAAAATTAAAAGAGAATTTGCACATTTCTCATTTGCACTCCTATGCATTTGTATTAGTGCAAATAAAACTATACTGCAACCAAACACAGCCTAAGCTCAGTTTGGAAGGAGTACAAATACAAATATGTACATATAAATATATATAAAATAATACAAATTACAAGGTTTTGCACTCTACATATTTGTATTTGTACTCCTTCCAAACTAAGCCTATATATAACTGTGTATCATATAAAAAACACGGTTTAAAAAAATGACAAGAAAATTGAACCATTTTGGCCACCGATTTATGGGTCAATGGTTCGATCGTATGGTTAAAATGGGTGGCCCATTTTAATAAAAAATTAAAAAATAATTAAAAATAAGAAACGACCAAAAACCATTGAACGGGTCAATGGATTGACGGTTCAATTGCCCGAATCAATAGATCATTAGCTGATTTAGCGGTCTTTGGCTAGGGATTGATTTGGGGTAAAACGGAACCAGTTGTCGACCGTTTGGATCAACGAAGGTTAGAAAACCATGCTGAAAAATAAGTAGGAAATATCTACTTATAAATTTAACGTTCATGTATGGATGGCATTTTCAATGTATAGCTGGATGCCATGTACATCAAGTTTTCGCTTTCAGTTGATCAAGCTCCAATAATGATATCTAAGACTTTCAAAGAAAAAGTCTTCTTCAAACATTCAAGGAAATAGGAATGGCAACGGGGCGGGGCGGGGACGGGGAGCCTCTCCCCATCCCCGTCCCTGTCCCCGCTAATGGGGACAAGGTTATCCCCATCCTCATCCCCACGGGAATCCCCATTCCCCGTGATTCTTTATAATGCTAACCATTTTGTTTTTGCTTTTTATTTTATTTAAAAGAATAAAAATAAAATAATTAACATTTACAATCGTATTAAAAAATATTCAAACATAACCAACCATATTTTTAAAAATATTAATACATAGATGTATGTTTACATATTTACATATATAACGTATGCATACATATATACATAAATATTAGTGGGGATCCCATGAAGTGGGGATCGGGGTCCTCGCGGGATGGGGAGTGCGTCCCCTCCCCATTCTTGCTAACTAGGATGAAAATTTCCCCATCCCCGTTCCCGCGGGGGGAAATCATCCTCATCCCGTTCGGGGCGGATTTCCATGGGGATCAAGGAAATGGGGAAAATTGTCATCCCTATAAGGAAAGGCCTAACATCTGTCACCGTAATTGCACAAGTTCCAAAATAGCTTTAAGCCCACACACTACACATCCATTCTCATATCGCATAACAATTGGCGCACTAAAAACTCTTTTATGCATAACACTTACAATCGTAAGGTGTTCCTCCATGTCATCCTTAGCCTTCAATACTTCATACATTTTCGCATTTGTTGCCTGCTGCAATGATTCTGTAAGGACAATTTGTTTCTCCCAAACATCGTTACATTGCTAATAACCCTACAAATCTGCCATAAAATTAGTAACCATTTCATAAAGATAGAGCCTTTTA